GTTACTGACACGCTGGGCTTCCTGTTCACACTGCAGGCTTTTATTCCAAGCTCAACAAAAAGAAGCAGACAAAGATGAAACGCATGCTTCGCCCAGGCGGACATTTATGATTTTAGAAATCTTTTTTTGTCCCAGTATTTACAGCTGTGAGATAATTCATGTCTCTTTGGTATTTTATAGTTTTTTGTCAGCAGCAGTGAAAATGGAGTCATTGTGATAACGTGACCGTCTCGAGCCAGGATCAGGTAGCTTTGAACAGTGGTGAATAAATGTGGGGTAAAAGATTTGAGTTTATCTGGACAGAAATGACTTATTGTGTTAGAGTCCACTGTGGAGAGAAAGCTCAGCTGTGTTGCTTCAGAGACTCTGTGGGAAAAGGGTTTGATCTGCAGCCCATGTCGGTCCGCTGGCTCCAACGAGCCGTCTCATTGGGTTTAATAAGGCGCAGCGTGTTAACGAGTGAAGCCAAACCTCTTACCTCTAACTAATAACCGCTCGTTCCATGTTTGCTTCCCAAACAGAGGAATGCAGATGTGCTTTCTGTCAGCATCAGAGAGCAATTCATTCTTTTCATTTCAGGGCTTTTTGTTGTTAAATTACCTGCACATCAGTTTAGGAGAGCAGCTCGTGACCTGAGCGCGCCTCGAAACCTTTTTTGTCCAAAAACTAATGGAAACACCCTCGTATTGCACTGTGTACACAAATAACTTAAACAAAAATAAAGCTGAAGGTGAAAGATGTTCCCACCTGTAGCTGGTGGCACATGTGACATGTTTGCTACCCGTTTCATCTACAGGAGCAGATCACCTGTATGCTTTCCTCTCCTTCCAAATAATAATAATAATAACTGCATTGGCATATAAATACTTAAAGGCAAACAAAGCAGAACAACATGTCAGGTTAGGTTGTGCATAAATTATTTTGAGTACTGTGTAATTTCTTGGTAATTTTGTGGGAAAATACAATAATTGCACATCTTACTCTGCAGGTAGACTGCAGCATTTGTCGTGGCCTTAATGATCAAGTTTCCCCAAAAAACAATAGCATGCTAAAAAAAGACCCCTCAGTAATTCGAATTAAACAAAAAGAATCAGTTTAACTTGAGAATATCAGAGGAATGTTTTAAACATGTGAGCTTGTGCGCTTTCAGATCTGTGGATCTGTGTGAAATCAGCTGAAACACACACAAAGTGTTTTTCTGTTTAACTTTAAAAAAATTAGAAGTTAAACTTTTTGCAACAAGCCCAGAAAAAGCCAAACTTGCAGATGTGCAGCAGGTCGGTGTGGCGTGTACGTGTCATCTGCACGGGCGCATCACAGCGGTGGGAGGGTTTGATCTGCGGCCTGTGTCCGCTCTCTGGCTGCAATGAGCCGTTTCATTGGCTTTAATAAAGCGGAGCGTGCCAGCAACTGTCAGCTAAGGCGTGAAGCCAAACCTCCCCACGTGCTCCAGATTGGAGGATAAAAGGAAAATGAGCCAGGGGCCCCAGACAGCGAGGGTCCCCCCCACCCCCAGCCATAAGGAGTCCATTATGCTCCCGTGTGTCACGCAGCCATTTTTGTGGCATCTCGGTGGCACGCTGTGGCGTTTGCAAAGGCCCGGCCCGCCAGAGCGCTGGCACAGGGCGGCCGGGACACGCTGCTAAATCCCATTAGAGTCTGTCCAGAGGATACGAGGCTGCCAGCGGCTGTCAGTCATCGTCAGGCTTTAACCTCCGGGAGCACAACACTTTTAATTAACCTTAAAAGCAAGTTCCAGTGACGAGCTTTAATACATCAGACAAATGTCTCAGCAGCCTGCAGAGGGAAACTCAAGGACGCTGCAGCCGTGAAACGCTGAGCTTTTTAATCAAGTGTGTGATGCTAACATCATCCCCCAGCCATTTAGGAAAAAATACTATGAAACCAAGAAAATGTCTTCACCTACGTGCTCTGTGTGGCATTTATTCATGTCACTGTTGCATGAATAATTAATGCTCAGCCCAACGTCGGACAGGATTACAAGGCTGGGACCAAAACCTTCTTCTTCCTTAGTCCTTCGCTGGCTGGAGACTTGAATCTATATTTACACGTTCAGTTGCAAAGTGGAACAAAATAAGAATTTATTCAACTGCAGTCAAAACGATTTCTCCAGTGAAAGTGCGGTTTAAGGAAACAGATGTTGTTCCAGGGACCTGGAGGCGATGCGAGGTCAGAGATGTAGTAATCATGTCCTCTACTCCACCTGTCCAGGCGACTTGTCCACCTGTAGAGAGGTGGGGAGACATTTTTGTCCTTTGCTGAAACAGAGAAGAGGCCTAACTTCTTAGAACTTGGTTCTAAAGATGATCCAAACATCATTTGTTTCACAGTTTTCAAACCAGAGTTCTCTGCTGCAAGCTTAAATGTCCCAACACCGGCATGGAGGGAGAATCTGTTTAGTCTGGACACAAAAAGAAGGATTGAAGTTTCCTCCCAGCTCATTACCAGTGTTGGGTAAGTTACTTTAAAATAGTAACTTAGTTACATTACTAGTTACTCCTCTTAAAAGTAACTCAGTTACTTCAAGTTACTCGTTACTTTCAAAGTAACTAGTTACTAGGGAAAGTAACTTTGGTTTTACTCAGAATTCTCTTGTTAATGTGTTGCTTCCATAACTTTGCCAGTCTTCTAGCTTGCTTACTTGCCACAGTGCACTGTGCCACCAACCAATAGAAAGGAAAAGATAATGTGCATATTTCCACGTGAGAAATCCCACGCCTGGACCGTCATTGACTGCTGCCATGATTCTAGCCTACGTCACAGCATCATGTGCGCCTTTTACATCCAACACAAAAACTGCAGTCGTGGTGCTTTCGATTGTACTCAGAACTCGGAAATTCTGCCTTCTGAATAGGAAGATGTAGGTAACACCAGACTGCAGATGAGCTGCATACAGGGCTGGACTGGGACAGAAAATTGGCCCGGGTATTTTGACTAGAGGCCCACCATTATAGGAAAAATCTTAAAGCCTTTGAATGAAAACACTGTTGTGACAGTGATGTTCACTGTTCTGATGGTATATATGCATCAATCTATCAATCGTTTGTTGTAAGATTCAGATAATTATTTTTTAAAAGCGAGACATTTTAAATGAGAATAAGAAAGAAAAGTATTTCTTTGTGACCCCCTCTCCCTGTTAATGCCCTACATGCCCCCCTGGCAACACTTTGAGATCCGCACCTGCACAGTTACCAGCTGTCAGCTACCTAAAAAAGGATCCTGGGGTTATTTGTCTCTCAGAAACAGTTCATAACTTCCCTTCAACTCATTCATGTCACCTAAAAGGTAAACCTGTTTCTCCATCACAGCTCTGATGATTCAGTAAGGACATCTCCTGGTTTCATCTTCATGTTTCCCTCTCACCAGATAACCAAACCATATCATGACCAGCAGCTTTACAGCTGTGGCTCCAGCAAACATCAGCTGATACTAGAAATTAATATTAAATCAATTCTAACAACAGCTGATCAAGCTTAAACGTGCTGCTGTTGTTTAGCGCAACATCTGCTGGTTTCCTCTTTCTGGCACAAAGTGGGCGATAAACAAACAAGAGAGACGATCAGCTGATCATTGATCAGTTTCATGATTGAAGTAGAAACAGGAGAGGGAGGGGAGAGGATGAGAGGAGAAGAGGCAGCTGTGCAGCAAAGACACAGAATAACTGCAGCTTTGTGTCTTTTTCATTGTAGCTGAATTACGGGACAAACTGTTCCTTTTCACCTCAATAAGAAACGCGTAATAATTTCTCTGAATACCAGACGGGGCGGTTGGCAACTCTAATAACTTATGAACAAAATAAAGTTCAACATCATTAACTTCATAGCACCACCCAGCTGTGTAGAAACTCCGTCATGCTAGCTAGCACGCAGTACGGAAAAAGTCAGCATAATGAAAATAAACTCCACCTAAACTTGGTTCATATCTGACCCAGAGAGACTGCAGGTCATAACTTCTTACCTGAAGTTCAGTTCACACTTGGACCGGCGGCCGCCTCGGGTCTCTTTTCCTTCTGCGTCCCTTTTCCTTCATCCACCTGCTGCCTCCACCACTTGCTAATGTTACTGAATCTGTGGAAGCTCCGCGATAGCCACCACACGAAGTAACGAGTAACGACCCTATCTAAATCCCAGTAACGAGTAACGCGTTCCTGATTTTGGCATAATAACTAGTTACCGTGCTCGTTACCACAATAATAACGTAGTTACTGTAACGCGTTACTTAATAACGCTTTAGTCCCAACACTGTTCATTACAGACAAAACTTAGATTAATTCTGATCTGAAGGACAAATGTGTTCGCAGAAAAAAAGTTACCTGAATTATGTGGGGATATTACAGGTAACTTTAAAAAAGCCACATGAAAAACAAGATCCTAAATGACCGATGAGGAAAATTATATTTCTTACAGAAATATAAACACTGTGGACTCTTCCTCACTGAGCGCGCCGGTGTTTCATCACCACAGAAGTAAGAAAACAAGTAAAATCTTGAATTTGAATAAAGTTTCTGCCTCAACACGTGAAAAAGAAACAGATGTGATGTCAACTTTCAATCAAATAACAGAAAATAAGACAAAAACCAGTGAAAACATTGATTAATTACGATTAGAGATCATTAAACATGGCTGCTGTGTGACAGGGCGGCCTCAAACTTTCCATTTAAACATGCGCAGATTGGGAATTTATTAATTATTTGCTCCCAAACCTTCACTCGATGGTCAGCTGAACCAGAGTTAATAACCTGCGTCTCTTTTACAAAGTTCACATTTAAAATGTGATTTTCTGAAACAAAACCTTCAGAGGAGGATGATTTAAAACAACAACAAACATAAACAACAAGAAAAAAAATTGTTGATGTAGAATTTCCTTCATCTTTGAATACTGAATGAATGATGCTCCGTCCTGTGTGGACCACAGTGCGCTCTCTGGCAGGCCAGTTCTGGTCCCAAACCACATGTAGATTCTTTTTCTTTTTCGGTTTTATTTTCATTTTTGTTTTTTTATTTTCATTTTACTCTGCAGAGTAATAATGTTTGAATGAAGAAGAGAGAAACTATTCATCTGCTGTTTGTTTTACAAATGATCCCTTTTCACTGATCTTCATCAAATTAATAACTGAAATTTTGACTTTTTTTAATGTGTTTGCATTAAACTGGTCGTGCAGCTTCTCAGCATGAATGATTGTTCCAACTGTTCCATGTTGGGATGAGTGTTTCTGTGTGGGAAAGAAACTAATCGTGCAGATTTCTGGTGACAGAACAGAGAAATACTTCCTTCACTAACATCTGTGTGGTGACGGAAGCAGTGCGAAGTGTACCGGCTGTACTCAGACTAACATACAAACACGTTTTCTTTCAATCTGAGCGCTAAAATGTTTCACTGCTTCTTAAATGATCTGCTGCACGACACAAGTTTGCTTTCAGCTCCAAACTCTTATTACAAACTTTTTATAATTGAAAAACTGTACGTGAAGTTTGTGTGAGTGAAACTTCACACCGTGGCTGCTGGCGCTCTCCGTCCTCCTCTTCAGCCCTCAGCGGCGCACTGAGACGCTTCTAATCCTCTTTTGATGAACTCGGCTAATCGACTTCCAGCTGCGCATCTGGCAAAGTTCACTGAGCAGCACACGACCCTGTCCACGCCCCCGAAGCACGCAAGGCCCCCCACTCCATAAATTCTCCCATCAATGCTGAGAAACGTGAAGGGTCCCGGTGAGGCTCAGCGGCTGTGGCCGTTTGGTGAAGGAGGAGAAGGAGACAAGAGGAGGAGAAGAGGAAGAAGGAGACAGTAGGACAAGGAGAAAGGGGAGAGCGGAGGAGGAGCAGAGATGCCTCCGCGTAAAAGCCTCTTCGCTCCCTTCGTGTCCGTGGACTCTGAGTGCGGTCCCGGTCCCGCGGCCTCGGCTCTCCATGCGGATCTCCACGCGCTGCTGCAGCGGAGCCTCGCACCGGACCGCTCCGGGGACTACCGGGACCCCCCTCGCGCCATCGTGGAGCTCCGGCTTGGTCCCGCCGGGGGCGCGCTGCATTACCTGCCGCCGGACACGAGCGCTCTAGAGCGCGCACAGAGACGCCGGCGTCTAGCGGCCAATGCCCGCGAGCGGCGCAGGATGCTCGGACTGAACGTGGCCTTTGACCGGCTCCGCAGCGTTATTCCCAACACGGACAGCGACCGGAAGCTGTCCAAGTCCGAGACCCTGCAGATGGCGCAGATCTACATCTCCACCCTCAGCGAGCTGCTGCAGCAGGGCGCGGGCGGAGCACGCAGCCCGGGCGGAGCACGCAGCCCGGGCACCGACAAAGCGCCGGCGGCCGGGGATCCGCCTCGGCCCGAGAGGCACTTCCACACGGCCAGGAGCAACGGCGGAGGCCCGGGGTGCCCCGAGGAGGACGTGCAGGGGGGACGTGAACATCTGTGATTCTTTCAGCATCAGACATTAAAGGACCAAAACGTGTTTCACGTGTTCGAGGACTCAGACAACGAGGACGACAAAGAAAAACTCTGTGCCAGAGTTACTCAAAGTATCAATTTTTATTATTTTAAAATTATGTACAGGTAACCAAAGACATCGGTCTGCAAATTGGTACAAAGATCAAGTTTTCCTGCAGGCGGCTCGTTAAGAAGCTCTCTGTCTGTCCAAAAACAACAACACGGCTGGGAGAAAAAGGCTTAGAAAAAAGAAAAAATAGAATCAGATTCAGAAAAGTAGAGTCTACGGTCTAAATTTAAATTTAACCCCGGCCCACCCACGACCCTCCCCAAACTGCCCCCTCCGTCCCAAACTCCCTCCATCGCTCCCCTCCTACATGAGGAGGTCCAATCTATTTACAGGAAACTATGTACAAAAAGCTCTTCCATTCATTCTTCCAGACGTCTGTGAATAAAGCTCTTGTAAACTTTTCATAAAGGAGTGTGAAGTTTTAACGTGTGTGTGTGTGTGTGTGTGCGCGCGCGCGCTGATGTCCACAGACAAACAAATACAAAACCACATGAACAATGACACAATCTTTAAAGGTCAATTCAATGTCATTTTTTTTTCCAGCTCTAAAGATGCAATCAAACAGCAGCAGGAGCTCACGGCGCTGATGACAAACGCCACAGAGCACAAAGGAACAGACGTGACAACTTTCAACGTTAGCTTGCTCAGACGATGCTCTCTCTCTTAATCTGGACCTTTAAAAAAATCTGTTTTCGAGAAAAGAAATTCAAAGGCGAATCTTTAGCTTAAAGCAGGAACGAAGGAAACCAAGCTAGCGTCAACCACTGCAGGTCCTCTAGCATCCACTTGAGGCTCCAAAAGCGAGTGGGTCCCCACAGACTCGCATTAAAATGCGACAGATTTACAGCAGTAATTAACACGCGCAGCCTGCTGGAATTTAAAAACCTGTTTTGGCCTCTATGGACAGCGTCTGTGTCCTTTATCTCACAGCAGTGACCTTTAGTGCCACAGGTTTGCGTTTCAGCGTTGATGAGCGACTGTGGGGACCTGAGCGTGGCTGCAGACAAAGAGCCAACACTAAAACGATGCTCACGGCCATCTTTCTTATTCAGGTTTCCTTTATAACAAGCTTATTAGCTGGAGGTCATTAAAGGGTTAATAAAGCAACTGAAGGGACGCCTCAGTTTGAGGCGCCCAGTGAGAGTTAGACCAAGGCTGTATGGTTTTAATGGAGTGGGTGGGGCTTATCCGAGACATCTTCCAATGAAATTATTGGAAAAAACTGTGTTTCTATTGTGTGAAAGACTCACATGTTCCCCTGGAGTTTCGCTCTTTTGAGAGTCTCCAAACTGACGAAATGTGACACTAAACTTAAATAACTTTTTTTTTAGCTTTTTAACAACAATGAGGCGGGAAATCTTTTCAAACTAAATCATATCTATTTATTCTATTAATAAAGCCTTTAGTTACAACGCTGCACTTGAAGGAAGGAGGAACAGAAATGACTCGTTTAAGGCTCCAGACTTCCCTTTCCCCCATCAGGGAACATCTCTGGAACTTCAGCTGCACTGACGGTGCACAGAGGACAGGAAAGGCCGGGGCGGGTTAAAGCTACAAGTGCAATGGCTGACGTGTAATGAGTGGCTGTTTGTACTGTAAGCGCTGCTGGAGTTTTGACTTCTTCACAGGTGCGCCATCTGAAAAGGCTTCAAAGATGAAAACCACAGAAGGTCCAACGGAAAAGCACGGGGCCGATTTCTATCATTTACAAATTCCCAATCCCACCTCAGCATCGCTGAAATGTACGTTAGAGAGTGATGCACTCTTGGAAAGTCCAAACACAGGATTTGGAGTTAAACTGCGGGTCTGAGGATCTTGAGCTCCAGCTACAGTGTTTCCTCCTAAAAACACCTGAGCAGGAGGGACAAACAATCGACCTCCTCTGTGAAAACCCCTCTGCTGGCGGCCCAGTTCAAAAGCAAAGAGCCTGGCCTTCACCTGTCAGACTGGGGGGGCTTCCTCGGCCGTCTTTACTGTAACTGAAGTCTCCACCATGAGCGGCGAGCTCAAAGGCCTGGCGGTAATTGAAAGGAGCAGGAGGAGGACAGGTTCTGGCCCAGAGGGCTCGGGAACCCGCTGAGACACGAAGCTTTTGATGTTGAGCGAGATCGATCGTTTGAAAGGGAAAAACTTTCTGCTTTTTGGAAGCAGAGGTTGTCCAAAGTTTCTAAAACCCCCAAAAGCTTTGAGAGTCAGGTGTGAAGTCGGCACAAAGGCGCCGCCACGAAACGAGGTGTCATACAAAGGCAAGCAGTCCCACCTCGACTTCACCGCGGGTCAGGCTTCCCACCCTCCGCCCACAAATGATCAATACGCGTGGTTTCTCAGCGCTAAAGCACCTCCTTCAAACAGAGCCAAGAGGTTACAGCAGCAAAGAGGAGAAGAAGAACACAGCGTGAGAGAAATGAGGCGGCCTGTGAGGAGCCGGGGTCGACGTTTTCAAAGTAAAAGCCATCTTTTCTTTTTAAAGAGCTCAGCTTGTTTGTTTGGCAGTTATCAGCTCCAAAAGGCCGCGCTCAGGGCCGCGAGGCTTTGATGGCAGGCTGGGGGGGGGGGGCAGCTTCACTCCAATCTGCCATTGCTCAATACGAAAGGGGTTTTCACGAGGGAGGGGCTGAGAAGGTGAGGAGACGCTTTGAAATGGAATTTATCAGAGAAGAAGAAAAACATCGCTCTGAGCAACTTTTTTAAACTGAGGAAAAAGGAAGAAATAACAACCAAATACTGACTTGGATTCTTCAGAAAAACAAAAGCATGTGATCTCTGCTGCAGCTTCAAAGGGTTTGTCCTTTAAAGTCACAGAGGAAACGAGCTGTTTCCAGCGCTGCCGAGGTGAAGCTCCTTTAAAAGGAGGAAGAGGACGACGTCCCGTTAGTTTACTCCAGCGGTCAACTCTGAGGTGGTGGTGATGGTGGTAACGATGATGATGGTTGTGTTGCATGTGTCTTTTTGTGTGAGTACGTATTTGAGACAGACTTCTCTCTAGCAGTGCTCCAGATAGTCAATGACCCGGGAGATGGACTTCTGTCCTGTGGTGCCGACGTCACACTGCAGAGAGGAAGCAGGGGTCAGAACACGAACACACACACCTGGAAAATTAGACGTGCAGATCGTTTCTTTCTCACCATTTCAACAAACTCACTGCTGGTTTTTTATTTAAATCACAGATTTGACTCTTGAATAAACTTGTCTGATAATCGTTGTTGAATAATGAGCATTTTCTCTCAGTAGTCTGCGTCTGACAGACGTCGGGCGGAGAGCAGCACAGGGCAGATGAAGGATTACGTCGAACACTAATCAGAATATATCAGTTTGATATTGTGGAACGAGTTTCAGTGTTGCGTTAGTCTGGACTTACAGCAGCCTCACGTCCACCTTTGTGAAACAGCGACTACGTCTCGCAGTCAGCAACAGCTGTGATAGTTCTGCTTGGAGGTAATGATGATGTATAAACACATTATGTTGAACAAGCAAATGCTGGAATTGTAGCTAATGTGTCCATTAATGTAACGCATAACAGCCAGTATGCTGTCAGAGTAAATGTACGCCGTTTTTATTGCCTTCACAGTGAAAACAAGCGTAGATGTAGCTTCATTCATAAAAACAAAGCCAGTTCTGAAGTGCCTAAAAACCTGCATTCTATCTGATGACCACCAGATGGCGATAACTGTGGTTGCAAGTCGACTTCTGGTCCTAAAGCATCCTATGGGAAAACGGCTCCCCGTCTAAGCCTCAGTACACAATTTCCTGCTTTCGTAAATCTTGGTCATGCTACGTTTCAACAAAGCCAGTGGTGCTTGCTCATTGGCTAATAGCTTGTGATTGACAAGTCTTTAGCCAATGAGCAAGTGATTTCAGGATGAGACCCACCCCTCCTTGTCACATCCAGTTTTTTGTGACAAGATGGCTTCAGAATAGTTGGCGTCAGCGTAGCGACGTCCTTCCTTTATACCGTGTTTTTTCGCAGCTCTGACGCGTTTCTACAAACTCGCTCGGTTCTGAAATCTTCCCTCCTTCATGTATTTGGGTCAAACGACCCGCGCTTCCGGGTTTGTGTGTCCAACATGAGCAGGATATACGGTGATTTGATAAACTAGCTTATAAAAAAGGCCAGGGGTCAAAATTTCAACATTTTTGTTTCTTATCTGCTTCAGCAACATTTCTTTATGGAAAACGATGATCATCTCCACAAGAAGTTTTAAGCTTTAATTTAAAAAAATACATAAATGATCCCCAAACATATTCAGAGTACGTTTGGATCAGAGTCATCAGGACTTTTCTCTCCGTGCTTGCTAGAACAGAACTAAACACATTACAGGGATTCTTTTATTGAAGCTGTGACTCACAGTGAGGTTCATGAAGTTGAGGAACTTTTTCAGCATTTCTGTCATGATGGAGAAATCTCCTTTAGGCAGGTTCTCTCTCACAGTAGTCACATTCATCTGCAGGACAGTCAAAAGAAATCAATCACACACACGAAGATGAATCAGACAAATCTAAACGAGCTCTGAAGCCTCAGAACAACAAGTGCTGCTGTGAACTGTACGCCTCAGTGTGTCATGAGGCTGCATTTATGTGTTTTTGAGGGTAAATGTGTTTCTACTGTGTTTAAAATGCAGGTGAAAACTTTGAGAAACTGCCTACAGACACACAAATCTGTCAGAGTCGCATTATGGGGACAAAAAGCACATACCCAGCATGCAATTCATTCATGTTTTGATGTTAGTCTCCAGGAAATAAATGAGTCAGGGTGACGTCTTCTCAACTTACAGATACACAACTGTGTGTGTGTGTGTGTGTGTGTGTGTGTGTGTCAGACTCACCGGGCTCCCCTGGCATAGGCAGCCCAGCAGCAGTGCCGTGTAGGAGGCCACAATACTGTCCTCCATGTGCTTCCCTGCATGCTGCAGAGCTGGGACAGAAACGAGGATCATGTCTCACTTTTTGCTGCTCGATGGTAACGATCGT